GTGTACCGAAATCGATGAAATCCACTCCTGGCTTTTCCCCTTTCATCCGCGATCCAGTTGATACCGCGTCGGATTCTTTATACGCTCCCTCGGTGAAATTCGCCAGGCGCGGTTTTCATCAAATCCCAGGCCGGAGCGTGTCTAAACTCATTTTCGTCGAATGAATTCGACGCCGGTGTCCGAAGTCTTATTTAAGGGCTGCGACCGGGAGCCGTGGCGGGGGGGTTGGATCGATGGCTCACGATTAGCGACACATCCGTAGTAGAACGAATTAATTCGGTCCTTGGGATTGGCGATTAATCTCCCCGGGGATTGCCTGCCAAAATGCAAATTAAGAAGCATCCGTCGTACCGTCCTCGCTCGTCTCTTCCCCCTGACAAATTGTGGGACAATTTGGTACAAACGCGTTTTCAGTTAACGCTGCTTCATAGACACCTCAGGTCCATTCGTTATAATACAGAGAATAAGGAAAATAATTAATACTGAATTTCGGAATGACGTGAAGAAGAATCTCTCGTAGAAGATAAATATCACGGTTGAAGATTTGTCTGAGAAAACTTGAGGGGAATGACTCAGACACTTTTTGTCTAATATTTATCCTGCTTATGGAAAGACAATTCTGGCGTTTTAGGCGTAGTTCGGCAACCCGATCTCTGTTTATCATCCTGTTAAGTAACGTTTACATTATCCTGTCTGGTTATTTGAAATACTGTGCCGCTGGCAAATAAGGGGTGGGAAAAAACAATGTGTCGGACAGTGGAAGGAAATGGTAGCGAATCCCGATTTGTGCAGGTACGGTTAGAATTGAAAAAGATCTCTCGGACGTGAGAGTAAACACACTTTGCGCGTATCGAATGCAAAATCGTGGTTGGCGTATGCTCGACCAGTCGAGGACGCGTCGAGAATTTAATGGCTCGGTAAAAGTGACGGCGAAATGGGAAGCTATCTCGGACAGGACGGGCTCGGATAAAAATAATTACGGCGTCCGATGGCCGTCGGCCATGGACAAGAATGTTAGATGTCCCATTGTTTGCATTAATCGCGTTCTTTTTCATATTAGCATCAATTTATCCTCGTTGCGTCCACCTCGACGTTCGTGTGTCATTACAAGAAATTAAACGATTGAAAATAGGAAAAAAAGAAATATGACATTTCATTCTACAAAAATTCTCAAACGCATTCCGTTGTATTTTCATGTATATGATTTTCGGTTACGTTAAATTCCGAGGACGTAAAAATATGTTCTGATCCTATCCCGGGTAAGCGATTGTACAAGAAACATTTTGCAAGTTGCTGTGTGTAAGAGGTTTTTGCGGGAAGTGAAAATTGCTGATCGAAAGCGCAGATAAAGCGTCGTCGCCTATTTCATGCTTGTCGCGTTGCAGCTTTGTGTTTCGGAAATCGTTTCCGAATGCTTTCTCATTCGTGTAAACCCCTCTTTTAAGGTCTCCAAGCTTGCACGGTTCCTTTATTAAACATGTGTTCACAAATTAGAACGAGTACGAACGAGGTCTGAAGGAGTGTAGTCAGACGAATTAACAGGCACATACTTATATACATACATACATACATACATATACGTATACGGTTGGCAATCGGATATCTCGGAATATGTATTCAGTTCTGTCTCCCTTATCGACTTCTTTCTCGTCGTCCATTGTCGAATCAGCGTGGCCGGCGGCGTCGTCGTCGTCGTCGTCGTCGTCGTCGCGGGAGGTCGGGGAATATCTCCGTATTAAAACCCGAAACACAGACGCTTCGTCGTCGACGTCGTCGTAGGGCGGTCGCATTGTTCGACGCGAGGAACCGTAACGACGATGCAAAAGACTCTTGACCTCCTTCCGCCGCGGCAGCATCGCACTTCACGCTTTATGTTTCCACGTAATAATCGGCAGACGCGAAAGGACAGATACTCCTAACGAGTTCCTGTGCATTTTTCCGCGAGTAACGCGGACGAGCCGCGTGTGCACGCGCCCGTCCCACCTCGAACGCCGCGCCTGTAGCAACGCTCGCCAGACTGAAACCCTTTGACACCGAATTCGGTGGCGGATGTTTCAGCCTGACGCGGCCACGATGGGAATTTTAATTTCGAAACGGGCCCAGAGAAGAACGCGAACCACCGGAGACGCGCTCGCTGCTTCGATTGTTCTTTCTCGACCTGTGGAATCTCGCCTCGCGGAATCATCTTTTCGACTTCCTCCATCGCGAGGGGAATGAAACGGCGTCGTTCCGCGAGCGCGGATTGATTAAAGTCATTCTACGGTAAATGAAAATGCACGTAGCTCCTCGCTGGTATCTTTTAATCAATTCGATGTTCCACGATAATTATACGCATTTCTGGAAACTATGTTTAAATGCCTGTTTCTAAATTCATTTTTAAGATATTAAATGAAAACGAAATTTGTTTGATTATTTTGCTAACGTTGGAGTTATTCTTTAAGCTGCTACCAAAGTCGAGTACCAATCCAGCACTGAATTGTCAAAATTTAATTGGTAAATCAGAGCTTAATGGAACGCGGTTCTTGTCAACTGTGCAATTTAATTGGTCTTGCAGTATTGAACTGTCAAGAGGTATTCAAATTAGATATTAAAATTAAATGGAGTTAAGTTTTCTGAATGTGAACAAAACGATACTATATCGATTTTTCTCGTGTGGCATAGTCTGTAAATTAATTAAAATCTTTCCCAATTTCTTGAATCGTTTATCAGGTCGAGTCCTAATCAATTTGAATTATTACACGAACAATGGCCACGTTGTCGTAATAAGCAACATTAATTTGAACAAAGCACTTACTCACTGACCATTGCTAATGGCATTTGCCAATTGAAATTAAGAAAGATTGCCAGTAACGAGAAGCGGTTAAAGTTGAACTCCGTTAAAGTAGTTATAGTTCGCTGGAGTGTACAGAGTCAAACATTCCCGTAGTCCACTCTTTGCTGTTTGCCGGACGTGCGCGCGTTACAACAATTTATTTCACCTTTCAACACAGTGCAATCAGAGAAAGTTCCCTGGGAACAGTTTTTAGAACGAACTTTTAGAAAGTACTTAGAAGATGTTTCTGAAACTTCGCCTTTTGCGGACAACGTTCGGATCACTCCTCGCAGTGCATTTTTACTTCCCTTCAGTTTATCTATTCGAGACGATGACATTTACATAATTAGTAATATCATATAATTGGACTCATCTTTCTGTTAATTTCGCTTTTTTATTAGCTTTGTTATTCCTTAATGCGTCTCTTAAGTATAAAAATTGTCATGGAATTATTAGTACGACGTCACATCAATTATGTTTGTGTGCTTTATATTATTGTTCCAGACAACAAATAAAACGCGCAGTCGACGGACTGATTCGTTTCAGCTCTCGGATCTGTGAAAGAAGTCGTTGAAAGATTGGTCGTGTTCTTACGCGAGAGGAATGTTTGAAATATGCTTTTAAGTAATCAAAACGCGAGGGAAGCGCACGGATAAAACATTATTATGACTTGTCGGATGGACGTCCCGGCGAAATTTATCTATGTTTGTATTTGTCCCATAATGTAGCCCGATAAATCAAAATGGAGCCCGGGCGAAGGAAATGTGTTTGCTTCGTGAAAACGCCCAATAAATTTAAAATATAGAGTCGTTCCCACGTACACGGTCCACACCGGCGAGATGAACGAGCTGCGGATCGTGATTTATTCGAAGATTTATGATACGCTTAAACGTCTTCACCAAATGAAAGGAATATTAACTCTGGACGATCTCTTATACGCTGTCTAATGATACGCGTCAAATTTTGCACGAGGCTCACAATTTTCTTTCACGTAGCATAACGTTTCACGCGATAATTAATTATCTCGTCAGAGGATGATTAGTCAATTATCAGGTATTCCTCGCTGATGCAAATCAGCGTGAAATAAAAACGACACAGTTGGTACAATGATTATCCCAAGAAATCAATCTGACACAAACGTTGCTTCAGCTCAGTTTCAAATCGGGAAACGCCCTTTTTTTACAATTTCGTGTAACGCTCCGCAGCGGCCAATAAATCGTTTTTACACTGGCTGTGGAAATATTTTTCCTACCTGTTAAAAACAATCGCACGCGCAGTTCGCCGATAACATTTGCATAATTCTACGTTCACTTCTCCCCGCTTAATTTCACCGCAGTTACCTTCGAAGGTTCTTGCCCACGGGATCTAAAACACAGATTGCAGCCGCGTACATTGTCGGTCTGAAATTCCATAGCCTTATTTACCTCGTCTAGCGTGAACAACATTTATCGTCTGTCTACACAGTGATTATTTATATACAATTATGTATTTTCATCGAGCATGTTAAACAAATTATTAACAATTATTAATTATGATTGATGCATCTTGTAATCCGTAATAACATTACTCCCATTACGGCGTGATATCAAAACAGTTTTCCCGTAGGACGTGATGGAAGCCTCAAATACTATCAACCGTGAGAGAACCTTGGCCCTGAAAGTCTTGGAAATCCGATTCGGCGAGCATAGGATTACCGCGTGAACTTGAGATTTCCCTCACGTAGGTACAATAGTGACTGCGAGCCAGCACGCGTGTCCCGGGGAAAAGACAAAATTTGTTATTGTTAGCCGAAGGAATCTCGAACGGATTTCCCGAGATTCCGATCGACGCTCATTTTTACCGTCGAGAACCTGAAACTGATATCCGAAGCAAAACGGACGTTGAATCGGAAATACAAGTATCGATCATCATTTTTACACACCGTCTCTGTTTGTACATTAAAAGAATCTTCTCGGCTTTCGAGTTGTAAATGGAACATTCAGGAAGTACAAGAAAATGGTTTAGCTGTTATCGCGATTAAGCGTAATGGACAGCATTACAGACAATCTTCGTTCTGAGAGCGGGCCTTTCAACCGTGTTTGAAAGAAGTTAAATAGTTTCACTTAATGTAGCCCAGTTTCTTAGTTTCAATTACAGAGTAGATAAATATCCAACGAGGAAGTATTTACTTATGGTGAACCCGTCTATTTTTTTAACAGAGTACATCCTGTAAGGGAAAGCTCTACTCTGATACTGTTTCCCAAGAGATGTACAAATATCGATTGACGTTCAGCAGATTAATCTGATTTGATGAACGAGTCTCAACTGTTGCTACTACGCTGTTTCACGTCTTAATACAAAGCAGAATGTGGCGTGTATGATTCATGGACGGTTCACTATCAATCACGGTGGAACCGGTGGCTGGTGAGGTCAGTGCGGTGGTCAGTGGCCGCTGAAAGCGAAAGAGCGAGCGCGTTCCGCGCGGTATGGGGGCTGAGCGAACGGTGGATATACCTAGGAACGGCGTGAACGAGCGGGAATCGTTTGCCGGTTCCTTGGCCGGTCGGTAGCGAAACGCGTTTAACCAAAGCGGCTGTCTCGGTATCGCGAGTTTCCAAGCCGTCGAAAGTACTCCGATACCAGGTACCGGGTTCGTGGGGAAACCTCGTGGACCGAAAGTGGTGGACGCACGGCTGGCGTACGACCGCGGCCAATGCCAGTCACCAGTGAAACGTGAAACGCGAAACTGGGCGAAAGTTTCGCCTGCTGGCCAGGACGAACCGAGGAAGGGAGGCCGCGATTTGCCGCGAATTTCGATACTTTATTAGACCTCGTCCGGACCATCCGAGGTGGTCACTCGGATGACAAGTGCCGCGCGGTCTTGTCGCTTGCTCTGTGTCTACATATTACTTCCTCGTCCGCGTTCGCCGTGTACGGAGAACTGGTGCGGCTGAGATCTGACGAAGGTTCGTAGCTCAGCTGACTTATAAAGTGTTTCATACAGTTGGATATTGTTGCTGACGACGTGTTACGAGTGGTAGGTACTATGGGTTACTGAATTTTCTAATTAAATAGGAAATAGAATTTAACATACTGCGTCTAAATTGCCATCGGCTTCTAAAATCAATTAACGTTTCTCGCGGTAACAAGGATACGTAGACAAGTGATTTAATCTTTCCTCTCTATACACATAATGTTCAATTTTTAATTAGAAATTCCACCTTCATAAATTGCTTCGAGACGCAGAGAGTAGGACTCTGCAGCCTTGCCCAAGCATCCACTACATTACACTTTCCCGGTGGTCTGTTCAATTTTTCTCTCAACACTACACTTGTTCACCTGAAGGCGGTCCGGTTCTGGCCGATAACGCTCAAGGTGCCCAGCTCGCACCATTAAGACGGATACCGTTCACTCGCGCAACACGAGACACGTAATTGAGCGAAAGTTTAGCCACGCGGTTGCGGGATGTGCTGAGCGGAAGCGTCGCGCCGTTTACGAGCTTCTTATTAAACGCTCCCTTCGCCGTGTCGCGGTTTCAACCCGGATCCCATCGCCAGCGTTGTCACGGGTCAATTTGCATAACCGGGACAAGGTTCACGGCACGAAACTTCTTAGTCGATCGAGATTAATCGTATCCGCCGGTCAAAACTGATCTCTTTTGTCGTTTGACGTTGATTCCCTCATCGAAGCTCGAACTCTTGAAGAAGCAAAGGACTTTGTCACATCGACTAAGGATCAGGTGATTTTACCAAGATAGGAAGCATCCCCCATTTTTTATTAAAATTCATCATTTGTTCTTTTGGCACGAAGAGTGCTAATAACAATACTAAAGTCTCATAATCACACGTTGTAAATATGCATCGATAGTAATTAAATGACGAAGCAATGTGATGTATAAATATTAGAGGAAAATCATGCGGTCTAGGATCGTGTGTACAATTATTGAGGCTGGGTCCACTGGATGCTCGTAATCGGATCGTCTCTCCCTGCGAGAAAGCGGTGCCCCGGTGTCCTTGCACTTGGGACGGCTGGAAATTTATGCGGCTTTCATTTGTCCGCCGCTTTTAAGTAGGTTCACTGTTTCACTTGTGCCCGAGCAAGTTAAACTCGCGGCTTCTGCTGCCGCTCCTCTCTTCCTAGATGCACGTTTCAACAAGGTCAGGCCCCGTGATCCACGGCCGGCACGCGTGCCCATTCATCACCGTGGTACATGCTCGATTATTTACCAGCACGTTGTTCCTCGAGAATGAATGCATATGCTGATTCTACCGTTAGAGATTGAAAGTGCACTTACGTAGGGTAACAAAAAGAAATTTTGTTAAATACGTCTGAGAGTTTGTAGACGTTTTACAATTGCGTGCTGTTCAAAGTTAAAATAGACAGGATTTCTTATTCATTTATACAAGAGTTTATCCTTTTAATATAAAAGGAAGTCGTTAGGTACACGATAATGATTCACAAATTGCCACTTTTCTACAAATGATACACGGCGCAATCGGAAGACCGTGACCTGATATTACCCTAATAAGTTTAATTGTTACGATCGTAAGTTAAATAAAATGCATGTTATAATCTGCTGTTAGTGTCTATTTAAATTGATAGTGGATGATAATGGAATGAGAGCGACGATAAAAAAAGAAATCAGTTTTCTTTTGCTACGCGTTCTCGACCCATCCTGGGGGTGTCCTCTGGAGTATGTCGAGTTGATTGACAGGCTCGATTCGCGTAATGCCAATTTGTTCGAGTTACGGTCACTAACATCGTCGAAAGTGAAATCGCAGCGCGCAAAAACACTGGCACAAATACGCGGGATAATTTGTCATCGAGTTCTCTTAACGTTCCTTTCCAGTCATTGTCGGTGCAGCCTCGATAACTTAATTGACAAGGGAGTTAATCCGACACTATCATTCAAATCGTTCAAGTGTTTCATTGCCACAATTAAATTGCGGAAATTATAAATATTGCATGTAATGTATAATACATAGAATATCGAAGGCTGTATACATATATTTTAATGTTTTAATAAAATTAATGTCTATTTAAATTCATAAAAGTTTCACTTTCTATAAAAACTTAATTATTCAAGTTTTTCAAACAGGAAACAATTATAAAAAAAGCTTTCATTTTCATTTGAGTTCGAAGTTCACGTGAACTTATTACGTGAATTCGTCATAATTCTCGATTTCATCCTCGCTCGACGATTTTTCCCCGGTGGCTCGCGTTTCACAACGCGCGACTGTCCAATTTACACAATTTCACCGCGGGAACAATTACAAGAACCCGGCGCATGAATGTATTACGAGTGCTTTCTCTTTAACTTGAACTTAATTACACGGCGAAGCTTCCCTCTCGACGGTGCTACGCCTCTGCCTTAGGACCTAGCCGTAAAACCGGACAATATTACGTGCTTCCTTCCTAGAAATCCTCCTCTAGCTTACACATAGCCACAAACGTTCATCAGTAAAATTTAGTTCAGACCCAACCATTTTCCTTCAATCTCTGAATAATTATTGTTATTAAATTTTTCAAACTGAAGGACATGATTGGACGTTCGACGTGCGTACGTGTAATTTACTATTACATTGAACGATCTCGAGTTAAATGCTCCCGTTCCACGTTCTTGTTCCACGACTCTAAGCGCACCTTAACGATCGCCAGTCTAATTGCACCGCGGAACGCCTGATTCCCCGGTCGTGAACAAAAGGCGCCAGGATTCAGGTGCAACTCGCCTTCTAAGCGAGCCACCATGACCGTGTGCGTCGAGTGCACTCCGTGCCGCGTGCTGCGTCCTCAGTGCGATCGGCGAAGATGCACCGTCACGGTTGCCTGTCGGCGCGCCTCGGTGAATAACGATTAATCGTGAATAATTTGCAGACATGCGCGAGGATAAGCCGTGAAGAATCGAGAGCTGAAGAAGAACAGGATCAAATATGACGCGATCGAGGAAAACGCTTTACTTCCACCTGCTGACTTTCTTGGTACTCGTCTCTCGTCTTCATTCTGTGGCAGGTATGTACGTTCATTGATCTTGTGACTGAAAGTTAGCGACTTTAAATGTTCTTCGGATGAAGGGATGCACGTGGTTTTTTTTTATAGATTATTAAATATTTTATTTCATTTTGCGAAGCAATAATTTTGAATAGTACTTCGTATTAGATAAAAAATCTAAACAGTTCACTGGTGAATGGGAATTATTTCGTGGAGAATAATTGTTATCACACACGGTGGGATCTCTATTCTAAACTCCGCTTTGTAGCGGTGTTGATAGTCAAACAAAAACGAGTAATAGTTTTTTGAGTACTCGTACAACTTCTCGCGGATCTGTAACTATTTCCAGCCGGTCGAGTTATTAAAGCGGAAGGAACAGCTCGGAACGTACGACTCTTTCATGTTCCTGTTCTCGAATCAGAATAAAAAATAAAGAGGAGAGGACAGGCGGGACAAGTAGTCCATCGAGATCGCGATGTGTAATGAGAGAAAGAAGTAGCGAATGCCTACGAAGCCCTGGGGCGATGTATATTTTTTAACCCGCGGTTATCAAGTGCGAACGCACACACCCGGATAAATCTATTCCTGACCTACTATCGCGCTTTGGGAAACGTTACTCCGCGGAGATGGACCGTTGATTCTCATCGTTACCATTTCAGATCGTGAGATCGAGGCCTTGTAGCTACCGCGTTCACGCTGCAATTTGTTGCTCGTTAATGAACCTCCTGCCTCGAGTACAAACGAATTAATTAAATCCTGGTTAACTAGTATAGTAGTGTCCACTAAATTTAGGGAACGTAATCGAAACCTACAGGGAAGCTACGTAAAAATGAAAGCGAGTGAAAATATTTCTAATTAATAATATGTCAGTAAATACACTGTGAGAAATGATAGTTTCATGATAAGGAGACCGTAGAATATTTTATTATAACAGCGACGATGTCAGTGTTATATTTTTTTTTAGGGTTCTGACATTGAATTCATCGCGATGAGTTTCATTATTATTTCCTCTTCTGTTCGTCGGAAGTAATGTCTTTGACAGCTTCCCAAAAGTAAAGGTTTCCTATTTTTTTCCGCTCCTTCGTGCTCCCACTTTTAATTATTTTCACGGTATATTCATATTTGCATCCGCATCAAGGTCGTACATACTCGCGCGTACAACGCCGGGGAAGATTCAAGGCTCCGAAAATGCACGCGAAAATCCAGATCGCCGTACGTACCGATTAATTGAAACAAATAATTGGAAGAGCAGATTAAATTTTCCGCAATATCACACAACCGAATATGAGAACGTCTCGTCCGTCAGACGTTCGCCACCGGAAAATCTGCGCCGGGATTTATTATTTAAAAAGAATTTAGGTGAATCGAGGCTGCAGAGCCCGAATGCAAATTGCATTACCGAAGAGTCGATATCATCAACCGCGCGTTCTCTCCTCTCGAGAATCCCGAGACGCTCCGTATTCTCATTCTGTCGCGCGGAAATCTATCTTGTTCCGTGAGAAGCTGCGAAATAATATATCGAGGTCGCGAGACGCGCCGCGGCGGATCTTCGATCGCGGGGCGTAACGAGTGTTTAGTTCCGCCTTTGGCCTCGGAATTCCGAGGTGTCCTTTTTCGTCCCCGGAATTAACGAGGACATTCTTGAAGGGAGGAAGACAAGAAGGGTTGGTATGCGGCTGACAATGCGCTGTCGTATAAACCGGCTCAGCTACTTGAATGCACGTACGCTGCTGGCGCAATTTCGGGAGCAGCCCCCAGGAAATCAGAGGCGCATTGTTTAATGGAAGTTTTATTGTTAGCTGCGACTGTCGCCCGCGACAACGAGGCCGATTGAAAAAAGCCACAAAAAGGATTGGCTTCTATTTTATAAAAAAAAAAAACAAAAAAAAAATGACAAGATAAATTTTTGTAATTTATTTCTTGTTTTGCGTCGGAAAATGAACTTTTCTTCTAAGGACGATCGGATTTTATTTACGTTAAAGCGGCGCTTAAATTCGCCCCTTTGTCGAGGTAACCACTCTGAGATTCGTCGACGACACGGTTATGTGCGATCGGCTTTATTAAAGTCCGACTGAAAAGTATTACGAGCGTGGGCGGCGCGGCGGGACTCTTCAGTTTATCTTCATGCATTTTCTTCAACGACTGTTTATACAGCACGTGAAGCAATTAGGCAAAACACATTTCTCGTTAAAGCTACGGCAGGACGGAGCTTTGTGGTTGACAAAAACGTACCGCATTCAATCTCTTTGACAGAAGTGCAGTTGACATTTATTCGCGACTCACAACGATAATTGCTACAATGCCAGTCGAGTTATTTTAAATACGATACCCAATATACGTAGACAACTGTTGGTAATCAAATAACTTCTTGTGAAAAATCGCCACTATTTCCGGCGGTCGTAGATCGAATCTTTCAGAAACAACCCTCGATGAGAGCAGAAATCGAATCGACCGGCGGCGTTTTAGCAGTGATATTATATCGGTCCACTTTAGCCCCGCGCCGGTGTGCAGCAGCGAGTAGGGCGTCGATAATCGGGACAGAGCCAGGGCTATGGTCCTTAAGCCGAAGAGCTTAGCCCCGGACAGTGCCGTCTTAAAAACGTAACGACTGCGAGGAGTAGCGCGCGACTCGGACCTATGGCCGGTGATGTATGGACGTGTCCGGCGATACCGTGTGCCCGCGACGTCGAAGCGATGCGATGGAAGCAGAGAAACGTGCAAAAAGCCGACCGACCTTGTCCCACTTCCGTCGAAGCTTTGGGGGAACGAGCTTACTTGTGTAAATGCTACACACAACACATGCAACAGAAGCGGCGGTGGTCGGCGGCGGTGGCGCGCAGCCGAGCCCCCGTTTCGTTATGTAATCGTTCCGTTATGTGTACCGGCCGTTTCAGAAACTGTCTGCCGCCCGCCGTGCAGCTGAAATGTTTCGGCGTCGGCTTGGCACGGGCAAGGAGAACAATCTGCTCGCGGTTATGAGCAACTTAATTGGCGCCCGAGAGCCAGTTTTGGATTCTAATTTCGATACGACAGCTTCCATCCTCCCATCGCCGAGGGTTCAATTCTTTGTTTCATTTTATATAACACATCGGACGCCCGCGGATCGTAGCGTCGGACGGCACGTTTTCGAGCCGAAAGATTCTAATCAAAGTTTCCGCGGGGCCTTGAGCGACGAGAAAATTGTTTCTGCGACGAAAGTTCCGTTCTATGAGGAATTGACATTTCAAAGGCCCACCGGGGTCGCGACTTAAAGTTCATTCTCACTGCTGAATTGGATCGATGCTTGACTCACTGGTAATACACTGGTTCGCAGACCGCTAGCTCGTTTTAACATTTAAATATCGGTTAATGAAATTCCGCCAGTTTAAAAACCTATCGTTTCGTACTATCTTCAGGAAAATGTTAGCTTATATTGACCTTTGACACAACCGACAGTTTTCTGCTGATATTAATTCACTATATTTGTATTTCTTACATTTTTCGCTGGTACTGAAGTTTTGTAGCAGCTTGAATAATAATTACAATTTTAACAACGTGACAACATACTTTCTTATTCTTTATAGAAAAATTTAAAACCGGCCATTTAACCGAGTAGGTTTAACGTTAATCCGAAGTACTTTTAATTAGCGTTTGGAAATACCTGTAAGAATGAAGCGAAGACGTATAGATACGTCGTGTACCGCGTGCATCCATTGTCGCAACCTGGCTACAACAGTGAACGTTCGCCGCCGACGTTTCTTCTGACCGCCTCTGAAAAGTAATTCTCCTCGAATTGACTCGCGGCGAATAAAAACAGACAGCGCGCTATGTACTAAAACTGAGAGAGAGAGAGAGAGAGAATGAGAAGGGGAGGAGAGGGGAGAACGTGCCGAACGAGCAGGTCGAATAAGAAAGGGTTGGGACAAGCGCAAAAAGAACGGGCTCGCAAGAACAAGGCCGCGGGGTGGAAAAGGGGGCGGCGGTGGGACGAGGCGGGGGGGTTCGGTGAAGATTTGCGAGGGGGATTTCTTTAAAACGGCCGCGGTTCTTCCTCTGTCCGTTGAAGATCCTCGAGAGCGCGCTTCCAAGTGATTTGACGGTTCCTACGAGCGGAATTTCCGCCGGATTATGCGCCGTCCGGAACTTTATCCGGATGATCGATGAAAAGAATTGAGTGCCGATTGCCACCGCTAACAAACGTAAATTCGGTTTCCCCCGGATTCAGCCTGTGTCAATAGAACCGTTCCCTGGGAATAAATTCTTCAATCAGTCGGCTGGACTACTTTATGTTTCATTTTAAAATCCAGTTATTAGATGTTCGACTGTTACGTGGATTCGACCGGTCGTATTTAGGAATTATAAAACGGACGTCGTAACTTAAGGATGTATTGGCTATACACTCAATCCCAAAAGTTTATGTACCTTAAAAAAACGCATTTCTTATAATTAAAAAGAAATCAGACGTNAATTTTTTTTTCGCGGAATTTCGACAAATACTTCGAATATAAGTTGTAGGTGATACTATTACCTATGAAAAATGTGGAATCACTATAATTTTACCCTTTTAATAGTAATAGGAATCTATAATAACAATAACAAATTCAACATGGTAGCATTGTTTAAGTATATAGCCTATACATCCTTAAACAGTTAAAATTGATTTGCGAAAGACTTGGAATATCGCTTAATAAGAATATTTGGAATTTACTATGGTACCGTCAATTCCCATTGAATTGTGATTATAATACTGCGAGCTATTGAACGTGCTACGTCGATCTCCCGAGCTGATAACTATTTAGCATGATCCTCTGCGAATTCCAGCTGCATAACATCTGAGAATTCTCGTGCCCGTAGCAATTCCGCCGACTGTCAACTCCAACAAACTTACCACACGCCAGAGAACACTAACCGGCACCGAAATCCCAGAAATGGGTTTCATAACGTCGGGTCGATTATTCTCATTAATCGTTAGAGAAGAATCGCGTGGCTGTACGAACTGTTCCTGAAAAAACTCCGTTATGGCATCGATCGGCGGAGCGAGGCGCGAAAGGCGGTGATCGAAATCACTTGAATTTTTAATCGCGTCGCTTGTCCGCTGGTAATAGCCGGAATAACAACGCGATTTGCCGGCGCGTGTGTCGTTATGATGTACATACAGATCGATCCGTAACTGGGAAAAGCTCGAGCGCCGAATCGGCCCCTCGATGCGTGTCCGGCCGCGAGTATCGGTTTCGCATCGGGCGTGCAATCGAGAGTGAAAGTACTCAGTAGGATACGTATATTCTGGAAACACCTGTGAACGTACAGAAACACCGGTAACGAGACTACCGAACCACTTCGAGGGACTGGATAATGATTATAATTCAAACTGACTCATATATTCGTGGCGGAAATGATGGAGCTGATACCGTATCGTTTTTTTCTTTTTGTTTTTTTTAGATAGAAATGATAGCAATAGTAGCGTTCCATTACCGTTTTGTCCGGGATTGATTTCTATAATATTTACAAACGCGTATCTTAATCTGATAGAAATTGGCTTCTGTGAAAATACTTACTGGTGCGTTAGTCACTTTCAAGCATGTTTTATGCATTTCATGCTAAAGACGTTCCACTGAAAGTCTCGTAAACTCGGAACTTTTAAACCCATGCAATTCTCAAGAGTGTATAGTAGAAAAACAAGCCTGGACAAGTTCGTACGCTCTTGGGAAGAATTGTTCGCAGATGTGATAAGCTGTAGCTATGACAACCGATTATAAACGATGTGAAACACTTCAAATTGAATTTCTTATAGTACGAGCGATTATTATATACAATTATGAAGGCAATAATTTTTATTTTAATGATTTCGATAATTTTCTTCTGCCGCGAGCTGAACAACCTTCGACTCAGAATTTCCCAGTTTCTTCTGGGCTCAGATCATACGAGGAAAGTACAGGATAGCCATAAGTTTTCCCGAAAACTAAACATATGTAAGTTCCGTGTCAAGGACGACGGCGTCGTAAAAGTTTGCGCCTCCTCGTTCAGTTTTCCTACAAACGTGTTCACGCTACATATGTTTCGCCTTCACGAACTATAAGCAAAACGCGGAGGAATTATTCACTCTCTCTTACCAAAACATCCGGATGTCTTGCATTCATAGTATCAATTATTTATTTATTAAATTATGCAGCAATAAATTATCAAGGCACGTTTTCCTTTTCTTGATGAAAACCAATATCTCTTCGTGTTTAACGTTAAACTGGCAATTTCTGTACATTTATAATTTTTACCTCAGCTTTCACAATAATTACGAGTTTAATAATATGACAAGTTTTCATTTTTATTTTCTATACAAGATTTTATTGCATTTATTGGTTTAGTGGTAGTAGAGATTCATTTTTACAGATGTTCTTTGTTATCGTTCGATCGGAATGATTTTGTCTCGCAACTCGAACAAATCGTGACCGTTCCACGGTTCTCACAGCCGGCTATCACGGAAATGGATCTGAAAAACGGTGAAAATCACCGGACAACGCGGTGGCCAGATCGCGGCTACTGAATAAATTTCGATAAGATCTACCGCAGGATGGCGAGACGGCGGTAACTTCCTCCGCGGTTCGGCCGCCCGGTATCGTCCCTCGGATCTTTTCCCTTTCGCAGTCGGAAACAATGTTTTACGCCGGCCGTCCACTCCGGGGCGAGTTAATTAGTCGAGTTACCGCGCCGGCGAACTGGATTCAACTCGGGATCCACTTGAGATACGAAGCTCCCGCGGACGCCTCGCACGTACCGTCCCGTTCCGTCCCGTCCCGGCGGGCGGCCGTCGTGGCGGATGAAAGCGCGGTACGGCCGGCCGGTTTTCACGCGGTGAAACATATCTGCGGCCGCCGTATACCGCGCGCGTACAACCGTCTGCCATCCGTCCGCCTCGTTAGCTGGTTCATTTCGGCTGCCTTGCCGCGTTACGGTTTTCGGTGCTTCGAGTGTAAGAGTCTTTTCACGCGTCCCGCTCTTCCCATGCTAATTTATTATGATTTTTATGAGCACCGAGTTATGTACGATAGGTTTCAACGTTCCAGATGTTACAATTTTAATAAGAATTTGTTTAATTTGCTCGATTTATAAGAAATAAGATAAATGTTCCAATTCCTGTTCACGCCTCAATTTCTACTCACTAGCGATTATAGAAGTATTATAGAAAAATAAAACAGTGATTAGAAATTGTGACGCAGCTTCTTGCAGAAAATATTTGCCCTTCTCTACAGACTTTTTACTAATTTTACGTTACCGCACAGTTTCACACGTACCTCACTTCACGAGCAATTTATATTCATTCATTACAGATGAGACAATAGGTTACATAAACGTCAGTCGATAATTGTAATTAACGCTGAAATCTGGAACATCCGAACAAAGGAATGTGTAATAACTGTAATGCATTTAGTCGTGTAGATATTTCTTAGGTAAAAACGAAATGATCTCACTAACGAGCGAATACTGTAAAATACTGGATAGTTTTTGTTCTCTCAGAAGAAATTTCAATGGCAATTTCCAATTTTCCGAAGGATGGACATCGTCGTCCGTGTAAAATGCGTTTCCAAAGCGAACCAGAATTCACGTTACCGGTCTTGGAATTGTCCCCTTCGGTTCGGACGCCGTTGAAAAAATATTCCGTTAGTGAACCGCGACACGATTTTCTTTTCTTTCCACGTGACGTAAAAATGATAGCAGGACTTGTTCCGCGGCCATTTCAGTCCGATACTTGTCGACATTTTCAACGGAACGCGTTGGGATTTTTGAAGAAACCCGTGCCACTTAATTCAACCGCGGAGCGCTTAATGGCGCGTGCCGGAGCCGAGTTTCGTAACGCCGATAATGATAGCAGAGCTGTTCCACTGAGAAATGGAAGTCAAGCTTTGTTAGATATAACAGAAAATGGTAATAAAATATATAAAAATGTGTACCTGTTGTAATAAAATAATATAAGAAATATTATAATATCTACGCGCTTGTCGGTTTGATGTTCATGCCTAATTAACATTGTAAACGTATTTACATCCGACGCAATTATTAGCGAGAGCTAATTACTTTCTCATCGCGTTACGTCTACGTGTTTCTAATTCTTAATGGACTTGTTATTATGTAATTAGATATTACGCGAAGATAACTGAATGCTCTGACTCCCGCGCCAAGCGAAATTAGCTTGTAAATGAACTTGGAAAAAAAAATAGTTGAAAGCTTGCGTTCGAATTACGTCACGTTTCGCACATATCGCTTATCGATTTGAATCTTTAAAAACGAAAAATATCGTGGCAAGGTGTAACACGTCAAACCTGTCCGCCACGGTCTATCAGCTTTAATCGGGATAGTGTTCGATAGCCAAATTAACTATAATGCCGCAGAAACTCCGTCAGTCCTTTCACTAACAAGCACGCCCTACGTCTCGCCGAGTTCTCGTGCGAAACGCGTTCGCAGCCAGTTTTACGGCTGCTAATAATTAATGTTTTCGATGTGAAAATCTAGTCCGCCGAGGAATAGATTGCAATGGATGAACGGAGCGGAGGAAAAGAAGTAAAACAGCCGGAATCGGTTACGGGAAATGGGAAAGTTCGATGGAGAATCGCTGCTAGAAAGTATCTGATTATTTCTCGAGCTCCATTTCCACTTGAAACATTTATTACAGACAATAGAACATATCTCCTACAAATAAAATTGTTTTTCAAACAACGTATTTGCACATTTTTATATATTTTCACAGGATGTCAGTTCTACCCAGTAGGAGAGTACTTGAAATTCGTCAGGGTGCCAGAGAATCTTGCGAAGGGCACGGAAATCTTGTCGCTGGAGGCTCACCCACGAAGTCACGTGTCGATTATGCCAGTGGACAAAGTATGTATCTCGAACTTCCTCGCGCGAGTAAAAAGATAATCTCGGTTTCTATGTCGAGACAGATGATTGCGCTTTAATATCTTGTCTACCGTTTAACGGTACGGATGAGACAATAATTATATTCAGCGCTCGGCGTTTACCGTTGAACGAACACATGACGACGCGGCGATTAACCTGTAACTCATCGTAACTGTTACAGGACGAGGATGCCCGTTTCTTCGCTTACAAAGAGTCGAACGAGACGCACGTCTCCCTGGTGCTGGCCCAGTCGCTGGAGGACCTCGTCGACACGGAGATACCTAGAAATCTGCTGAAGTTCCGGGTGGTTTGCGATTACTCCGACGACGGCGATTCCCTGGTAAATTGTAGAAAGTGTTCGATCGCTTCCAACATCAAGTAAAACACCTTTCCTGTCGTTTTACGCTTCCCTGAGCTCCACCCTCCCCCCCCTGGCTCCGAACCGGCTTTCCTTCGCAGACATAATTAAACGGTTAATGAATTTGCCGCATTAACGTTAAAACCGCGTGAGAGCCCGTATAAGACGTTCATTTGTGCCGATGGAAATTACTGAAAATTTCGAGCAATCGAGCTAACGACCCCGAAGGCTCCTAAATGTATTCCGCTTTTTCCCCACGGACGACCGGCAGCTTTTTATAATGGGCGTACGCGGTCTGCGCACGCAGGAATAATTAGAGCGTGCAGTCAGGTACCGGTCTCGATACGACGAACGGGCTCTCGCTACCGGTTTTATAGTTCTGTCACGTGCTGATAAACGTTTATGCAACTATTTTCGTTGGAATGCAGCGGATCAAAGAAACCGTTACGATACTGATTACAATTTTTATTCATTGACACTTCTATAAATCTTACAATTAAAACGATCTACATTCAAATGCAACAATTTCAGACATTCTCGCACGATACCCTTACTCGGTGATAAACGAAGTTGTCAGGTGTATAATATGTCACCGTACGAATTTTTAATCACGATTATAAATATATATTTCATCGGTGGATTTCGTTTTCCCTCGAAATTAATCCGCTAGCTCTGCGGATGCGAGCTTTCAGTCCCGCTTTCGCGCAAGTATGCAATAAAACTGGAAAAACGTACTCGTACCGCGCTCATTTTTTTTTTTTTTTTTTTAATTGTACCTCCAGGAACAATCGAATGGTTTTCGTGCAGTAACGCATTCTCGACGAATTTTTAAATAATACCGTTAAGCGCATCCGATCTACGCGTCTGTGATATTAAATATCCGAGAGAAAGCTAGAATAGTCGAAAAAGACAACGCGGGGCGGGGGAACGGGGAGCGCGCGGGGCGGAAGGGAGTGAGAGGGGAATATTAAAATCGATCCGCCACTGTGCGGAACTGTACAAACGCGATATCCTCGGATGGATACCATAAAGCCGCGAAACGGCTCTCCTCCCTATCCCTAACTACCTCGCTGTTACTCATCTTTCATTTCTTTTTCCCTCCACCTTTGCGCGAGAGCGTATCGATGCATCATCTTCGTATATTCCGTCCGCGGCGCGGAGTTCTTCGGGAGTTCCCATTTCCCTTCTTTTATCTTTCCCCAGTTCAGGGAACCGGGCGGATGGAACAGAGAAAATAGGAACCGAGCGGCGAGATATAAACGCGCACGGTGCGCCGTAATTCAAAAAATTTCAAGTGGAGTCGATGATAAATTTTTAATGAAAACCTTCGGAGGAAATATATCTCCCTTTTGTTTGCTCTTCTTTACTCTTCTTATTTCTGTCTGTTGTACATATACGTTATTATTAATTATTTTCGTAAATGTTGTACATAAGTATGGACGTGTAGAAAGTTTCCTGGGATTCTCTGTGAAATATATGGACAATTAGTTTCGAACTATGCTTATTACATATCATTATGCGACTCATAACTATAAATGACGGAACAAATCTCGGATTTCCTGTTGCCTTGACATAACGTATCTCAGGAGACATTGCGTGAGACTATAAATTCACGAGATCTGTTATATCGTGAAAGATGCTGAAAATTGTACAGTTCTTTCCGGAAGCAGTTTTATGCAATAACTGATATATTTATTTTTAAGAATGATTCATGATTTCTTTTCAAAATTGCAACTTACTATATCAATAAAATGATGATCGAAAAGATTAGGGTACATCGATGCTGCTCGGAGTTATGTGATTTCAGAGCTAAAGACGATTGATATGACAACGTTTATGGTTTTAGGTGACGTCGCACCTGTCAGTGACGGTCTACGTGGAGGACATAAACGATCATGCCCCACAATTTGTCGACGCGCCTTATCACGTAACCGTGGACGAGCTTACTCCAGTCGGTGAGATATATCTAACGCGAGTACGAACTAGCCTTAAGAGTCGACCCGCGGTTAAACGTTAAATCCTTCACTTCCGGGAGGGAAGCTGTGCCAACAGTATCTCGCCCGGAAATTCAATTTTGGAGGAAGATGAGCTCTAGCTAAAAAAAAAACTGCCGCTACGCTGATGCATACTGATATTTTTATACCTTCCGTTCATGCACACACAAATTATCGACCAGTAAAAATATTATTAAACTTTAACTTCGCTTTTTCAAACTTATAATATTAAAAAGAAAAAGTGATCTCTTTTCGTTCATTTTCTACAATTGCATAAGAAAACAGTCTAAAAAAAAATAATAACGTATTACAGAATTATTCACATTTCAGTCCATTCTATGATATTAAGCCAAAAAAGTGTATCTCGATCAGTGAACCGAGATTCGTTTTTCGTGTCACAGGCGTGACGATATTTCGCGGTATCCACGCGATCGATGGCGACAAGCCGAACACGCCGAACAGCGACGTTCACTACGCGATAGTAAAGGGCAACGAGCACGGCAAATTCTCCTTGGAATCCGGGCATAGAACCGCTCTGATACTCCGTAAACCAGTGGATTACGACAATGGCGACCGCGAGTTCACGCTGGTCATCGCAGCCACGGTGAGTAAACGCATGAGAGAATATCCCGATCCTCCTCGTTCCGACGATGTTCCTCGTAGAAAAGATCCACCGTTGAACTAAGTGAAAGTCTTATCGTCGATTACGAGCTGTCCACTGTCGGGCTCGTTTGCCCGGGTTCTCGTTCCAGGACCGCGGCGTGCCGGCCAGAAGCACCAACACGACCGTGAAGATCACGATAGTAGACAACGACGATCTTGATCCGAAGTTTACGAGGGACGTGTACCGGGCGAAGATTTACGAGTTCTATCCGATGCCGGTAAGCGTTTGATTTAAATGGGTGCTTACAAGCATTGCGTTGGATGGTATTGTAACGCCCCGTGTAGACCGAATCAGCTTTTGCACGAGTGTACGTTGGATTTGATTTAGGAGCTCACCTACAGAACTTTCGGTTATTCACCCATCGCCGATAAACCGTAACACACGTCGGACGTACGGTTGACGTGAATAGAAACGTTTCTACGATTGCGAGATCGGACTGTGCAGTAATTGCTTGGTACATAATATGTAATAACGTGCAACATTGAAAAAGTGTGCCACGCGATAATCAGTTCATCAAGCGGGAACATCGCAATCGCGTAAAGCTGTGTGTAATTTCACGACGGTAAATATCGGGACGGCGCAGCTGCATAAAATCAGTTATAATTAACCAGCAGGGAAGGATTATTGGATTGCGCAACCGCGAGACGGACGCGGGTTCTCCGTTTCCCTCGCGCTTTGCCAGATAGGCAGATAGATGCTCGTATCCGCCGGCAATGACCACGTCGATGCCAGATGATCGCCGATGAGGCAGTATTACGGAACGGACGGACGGACGGACGAACGAACGAACGAACGAACTTTCTACGGGATCATCGAGGCGCATCGCTTCCTTCAGTCACGTAGCTTTTATTACGCGTGTTTCTTCTTCTCGTCTCTCTTCTCGCCGAAGCGAATCCATCCGTTTGATTCGAGGCATCGCGCTTGTTAACCCTTCAACTCGATTTTTCTAACGCCCACAGACTGTCGGAGATGATTCTCTATCCACGATTAGATTCAGCGTGCGGTCGTGACATTTTGCGTAACCGATTTATAATAACGGGTTTAAATGTTGACGGAGCTAAAGGTTAAACGCGGAAATGTAACAGCTGTTCATTTTTAATGCATGTTGTCTTGGCTCTCGAGAAAATGGAACGGAATCATCATCGAAAAACAGTTCGAGTCCAATTTAGCGCAAGGTATCACGCCGTAAAATGTTAACTCGTCCGGAATAACGTCGTTTTCAACCACAAACGACCGTCCGCGTACAAAAGACATCAACGCGAGTCCCTCGCGGGGAGAGCCGTTAAAGCGAAACGGACGCAGCGGACCTCAGAAAATCAGTTTTCTCGAGGACGAATCCGCGCCGGGTAATTCGTTCGCGAAGCCTCGATACAGGTTGCTTCGGCGTCGCGGCGCGCGGGTCTGCTCGGTCGCTGTTACACGCGACGCCCGCGATCTAGGCTGTGCCACATCGCGCGNGGAATATCCAATCTTCATTCCAATTAATTTCACCACACCGATCCAAGCAACTGATTCGGACCGCGACATCAACGTGCCTGTCCGCTACGACATAATATCTGGTAACGAGCGTGGTTTCTTCCATCTGGATCCGAAGAATGGGACTCTGTTCTTGAAACGGCCCATCGACTTGGACGCCGAACGGAACTTACCGTCAAACACGTTCACGCTGCAGATTCACGCTTCCCAAGTGGACAATCCATTAAAAACAGCAGTGGCTCGCGTGGAGGTGGAAGTGCTCGATCTGAACGATAACCTCCCGGAGTTCGAGGTGGCTCTGTACAATATTAGTATAGTGGAAAACCTACCGAACGGGTTCAGCGTGTTGCAAGTGATAGCGACCGATAAGGACCAAGGCGAGAACGGGCAGTTTGATTACGAGCTGAGCGACCCTTTAGGCGCGTTCTCCGTGGATCCGAGGTCTGGATGGCTCACGGTGCGGGACCAGTCGGTTTTGGATCGGGAGAAACGGGATCACCTGCGAATTAGGGTGTCCGCGATCGAGAGGAAGCCCAGCGTCGTCCATCGCAACGGTTCGTGGAGAACCAACGGATCCTCCGTCGACGTCGAAGTGACGCTGCTCGACGCGAACGACAACAATCCGATTTTCGTGCCGGGAAATCTCTACGAGCTGACCGCTAGGAGCGACTATAAAGTGGGCACGGTCCTCGGACAGGTGCATGCAGTCGACGACGACCTCGGTCCCAACGGGATGGTCAGGTACAGGCTGCAGAAGCCAGGGAACTTGACCGCGCGCACGCCCCCATTTATGGTCGATGAGGTTACTGGCATGATCACGGTCGCCCAGAGCCCGATCCTCGAGGGGAGACACGCGATCTTCGTCGAGGCTGCGGATCAACCGGCCAATCCCAGCGAGAGGAGATTTTCCCTAGCCGTCGTCACTGTCGACGTACTCAGATCCGATGGTAGGTTTAACTATTTTGTTCTATTTTAGACATCGATAGTCTCTCCATAGGCACAATTCTAACGCTTTATTCATTATGTAACTGCATTGAAAGACAGAAACGCCTTCGACAGATTCTTCGTAGCTCATTTTTCCTCAATAATCCTTTTGTATATAAAATCAGGCAGTTAATATTTTCTGAATCAACAATCTGAGAGCCGATCCGGATTATCCAGATTCGTCCGCGGCAAACTTATTTCTTTATTCTGGAAACTGTTCTCCCGTTTCTTTCTCGAGTCACGGAAATCCGGGAAGTGTCCAAGGCGACGCGTTCCATAGAAATCTACGCGTCGCATCTCAAGGGTATTTCCTTCGAGCGTCGCGTCGTCGTCGTCGTCGCCGCCCAGATACTTTCCATGCATCCGACTCTGAATTTTATCGCGCGACACGTGCAACAAAGAGAATCCGACGATATCCCCGCGCGGAATACCCTGCGCGATGTTTCTGGGTTAGAAGAAATTTTTATCGCGATTCAAATGATCGGCGTCGATTCTGAACGCGCGTGCCGTCTCCCGCCGCCGGCTGTAAAAGGGAAACAAATCTCAAGTTTTATTTCGTCCTCCTCCTTGTCGTAGGGCCAGAGTCGCTCGAGCCGGACTTCGTCGGAGCCCCTTACGAATTTTGGGTCGGTGCCAACGTTCCAGTCGGCACTAGCGTTGGCCAAATCCGCTTGAACGACGCCGTAAAGACCAACGACCTGATCTACGATCTGCTGCACAGCTACGAGGAGGGTGGTAAGCGTTCAACTCAAGTAAATTAACCAGTGCCTGTGTTGCCATATTCAATTAGGATTTTTAAACCTAATAATTATTGCATTACTTGTACACACAGATAATACTTTTAACCCATTTGCATCACAATTATGAAAAATAAGGCTTTAATTGCCATATCAATTTACCGTACCGACTTGTTTCCGTTACACTGCCTTGGATAACGTTATTACTTAAAACTATAGGGTGTCTCAAAAATATGTACTCATATTTCATGAATACTTCGTTAATTTTATTTACATCGCACTTATCATTATCCTGCAGTCAATCTTTCGATGTAGTACCTCTCAGAAAAACGTCTAATATCCCCCAGAACATCCGAGCGTGACATGAAATTCGCGTTACGATGAGTTAAAAGCTATTTGACCTCTCAGAAGCCTAACGACCGAATAAGCTTTGGTTAAACGGGTAACTTCTAATCTCTGCGCCATGAAGGGAAGTTTGTTGGCTGGAAGCTAATAAGTGACACATGCTGCATACATACGCGATGGGATTTCAGTGCCGTTCGCCGTGGAGGAACGCTCGGGGACGATCACCGTCGTAGACGAGATCGAGACATTCGACCGGTCGACCTACGACTTTGAGGCGGTCGTCACCGACGAACGGGAGCTGATGCTGATTACAAACGTGTCCATCCACGTGGTCGACCCTAACGACGAACGGGGCATCTTCACCAAGTAAGTGAAACTCTCTCGGCACGACGATGCTGACAAGAGCGTTTTAACGAGCATCGAGTGAAACGCGGTTGTCGAGATTGTTTTTGTGTTTCAACCACGTAACGAGGGGGAGACGAGATTCGCCATGCAGATACCAGATAAACGAGGCCGCGTTCACTACGCTCGATTTACTTAGGAGCACATTTTTTAGGAACAATCTGAACGAAGATATCACCCGCATCTTTCAGCGTTTTACGATATATTGCCTCACTTTGTTTACAAAATCTTTGAGCGTATGCAAGAGTACATTTTATACGGCGTTCGATCCGAGGAAAAGTGAAACGTATTCCATAAATCATATGGAATAATGTTTTCGATTCCCATTCACTGCGAACAATACTCTCTCAATGTTCTTGATGAAAAAAGAGAATCAACAAAATCCATAAAGTCACTATTCGATCCCCGACGTCTATTAAAACTAACAAAGAAACGAGACAAACATGATGATCGAAACTTTTTATAGTTAATAGCCGTGAACGACGTGAAATATCAGAGTCCCTTTCATTCCTCCACCCCAGTTTTATTGTCTGTCTCTTTCCACGACTTAAAAATTGCGGTCATAAAACTCGCCCCCTCCGGTTGGAAGCTCAGCCAAGAGAGTGATCATTATCAATCGATGCGAGTCGTCCCATTCCCGCTCGGTCTAGCTTAAAGGTCAAAGGTCAGGATCACCCTCTCTCTGGCAGTGTCCAAAAAGTCGACGTCCTTTGATTGCAGGGGAACGACCACCGCCCCTCTGGTGTTCCACGTGAAGGAGAACGTGGCTGGCGCGTACATCGGGCAAGTGCTTCCGCAAAACAGCTCCGCCTCAGCCACCGTTGGCACCCGGTTCTTCATCGTTAATCAGCAGGATGTGCCTGATATCTCGATCACAGACGACGGGGCCCTTTACGCACCCAATGGTCTCGATCGCGAGACCAGGCAGAATTACAGCATCACGGTGATCGCGGAGAGCCCGCGAGGCGTTGGAGTCTTCCAAGTTAGTATGCTTCTGATAATTCATTGATGAGTTATTATAATTAGTGATGGGCGTTCAAATCCGAACTTCGGAACAAATCGAAGTTTCTCAAGATTGTGGAAATTCGAATCACTTTGAAGCTCGGAATTCTTGACTATCTTGAAAGTTTAGGACATCTACCTCATATTTCACCTGATTTAAATGCTGGGGCTTATTACACTTTTATATAAAAATTGTGATATCATTATTTTTTATATTAGTTCAACAAAGTAATTCTGTGCGTTAGGAGATATCATTGAAGAACTCGAAAACGTGTACAATGGAGGACGGGTTGTATACGCTGACTATGAGCGTATTGATTTTTGTCTATTTGTCGGCAGGTGTCCAGAATGTCGTCCTTAGACCGCAGTGTGTTTGTAGATCCCACTACTGGTACACGCTAGTGGGAGTTAATACAAGTTTCAAGGATACGGGCGATGATGTTCAAAAATTTTTAATTTAAAAATTCGAACGAAGGTCGCCGCGTTTCTACTATCACGGTTCAAGGATCTTTTGTCACGCGTGTATAAATTCGGCTTTCGTTTCGAGGGCTACGAGAGTTTTTGAAATATTTAAAATTACACGTAAATACGCGTACACCTGACTATGTATAAAATTGCAGTGGCTTATTTACGCGACCTCTTTTGCATTAATGCAATTATTAACATTTATACAGATGGGATTACGAGTGACGTTCCAACGCACAAAGTATTACTCGTTCTATTATTCTTATGGACGCGGTGCTTCTGAAACGTAAATTAAAATCACTTTCAGACATAATAACGGTTTTGACAATAGCTTTTGAATGATATAAACAGCAATTCCTGTTCCGTTATTACAGTTTTTAATGCATATTCATCGAGCATTATAAAACTGAGTTATTTAATGTTTTATTTTTATAGCAGCTTTCTCTCTCTCTCTCTCTCTTTCTATTTTTTTAAGCGTCGTGTTTTATTTTAGGTGAGCGTGATTGTACTCGACGAGAACGATCACGCACCGGTATTCACGGTGCCGTTGTACGAGGGTCGGATTCTGGAGAATAGTTCAGCCGGGACGAAAATAAACTTATCGATTCCCATCGCGGCTACCGACAAAGACGAGGGTATCAATCAAAACTTTGTCTTCAGTCTTCACGGCGAGGGTAGCGAGCTTTTCCGAATCCATCCGACAACGGGTTTGGTATACTTCGAGGGAATCGATGATCGCACGCTGGACAGGGAGGCGAAAGCAAACTACAGCTTCACGATCGTTGCTAAGGACAGCGGTAAGTTGCCTCTTGTATTAACAATAAAGCCGGAACTTGGACCGAAGTTTATCTGGAGGGATGCAAATGAAAGTTCTAAACGCGTTTCTGCTGCGGAAGCATGTACCAGGCAACAAAGTTTTAAGTCTTACATTCGAGTGTTACTCGACGCACGCTCCTAGCTTTACCTATTATAATAATCGTTAAGGCTAAACATTTATCCAAGTTACATTAATCAAATAAATTATATCGAGAATTCTCTTTATCGTAAGACGANATTTGATACTTTCGTGATGCCATAAGTTATTTATATAGTACATTTTCATGTACTGCTTGGAGCCTTCTTTGAAACTATTAAATCTTAAATTGCTGTATCATACGATCTCCATGTCTCAAGTGGAGAAAGGCTATCGCTTCTACGCTCTTGCTGGATCTCATTAAAATTTATCGAAACCAAATAATCGGGGGTGGAATACCGAACTTCTCCGAACTAGAACTTTTCCGAGGATTAAACTTCTGTTCCCGTTCCGCGGTTCTGTGCAGGCGGTCTGACTTCAGAAGCGAAGCTGCGGATAACGGTGACCGACGTGAACGACAATCCGCCGAGCTTCGTCCGAATGATCGTTCTACCAGATCAGGGAGTTCACGTATCGAACGAGCCCGATATCGAGACGGCCCAGGACGAGGGGAACGACGTGCTCGATATGACCGAGCCTGCCGGAAGTAGACCGACCAGCAGCCGACGGTCGCCTCTTCTTCTCGTGCCGGAAAACGCTATGATCGGGGCGCCGATAGTGCGGCTGCTCGCGGAGGACAAGGACGAGGGAGCGAACGCGGCGATAACGTACAGCCTAGGGAACGAGACGACTTCCGGCGACGACAAGTCGCGAGGCTTCGACACGACCGGCCGTAGGTACTTCCATCTAGATCCGAGATCCGCCGAGATATCCGTGGCCAGGGGACTTCCGGCTGGCAAGAATATTCATCTGTTCGTACTGGCCAAAGATTCCGGAGGCCTGACGGACAATATCACTGTAAGGATTCACGTGGTCGACGTTAACGACCACGCGCCTACGTTTGACAAGTCCTGGTACACGTTCGACGTACCCGAAGGCGTTTATACTGGCTATGCCCTTGGCACCGTCCGAGCCGTGGACGCAGACTTTGGTGCTAACGCGAATATTAGCTATGAACTGATCACTGCTAGCGAAAATCTGGAGAATCCTAGCAACAAGTCCAGGACTTTTGATGTTACGCCTCACGAAGGCTTAATTACAGTGAGCGGAGTCCTCGACAGGGAAACTGCAGCTGTTCATCGCCTCCTGGCAGTGGCTCGCGATAATGGCACACCGCGGTTGAGCTCCACGGTAGAAGTAGAAGTAAACGTATTAGACGTGAATGACAATGCTCCCACGTTCCACAGCTACGACGAGATCGAGAAGGATAAGAACGGAGATCTCGTTCCAGTCTACCACGCGTCGGTGTTTGAGAACAGTCCCGCAGGTACTCAAGTGATCAAAGTTCACGCGAACGACTCAGATTTCGCTGGCAATGGGAACGGCTTAATTCTGTTCGACCTGACCCATCAAGGACAGCCTGAGAAACAATACTTTTCCATTGACAGCAAAGAGGGTGTAATCACGACTATAGGTAACCTGGATTACGAGAGCCAAAAGAATCATCGGTTGTTGGTCACTGCTAGTGACTTGGGGTCACCGGTCAGCTTGACTTCCACTGCGGTAGTATTAGTCACGGTATTAAACGTCGACGACGACGAGGAGGACGCGGAGAACGAGGTGCACAAAACTCCTTCGTTCAAGCACAAGTATTACGAGGTGGAAGTCGAAGAGAACGTCGCGGTGCCGCTTCTGGTCGCCCAGTTGGAAGTGCCGGACAGTATGAACAGCGAGCATATAAGGTACAGCATTGTAGCGGACGAGACGAACGCGAGGGAACTTTTCTCGATCGACCCTAAGAACGGCTCGCTGTATTTGATGACGGACGTGGATAGAGAGGTGAACGATCGATACGAGGTGAAGGTCAGGGTCGACAGGGTGAAGATTGGTCGCGGGATGCCGGTGATGATTTACCCGGTGGTCGGTGAAAGGCTGAATGGTCTGGCGCCTAACGAGGCCAGGGTCGTCGTCAGGGTGAAGGATGTTAACGACAATGCACCGAGATTCAAGTCAAAGGGCCGGCCCATCCTCGCCGCGATACCAACCACTGCCCATTACGGCTATGAGGTCGTCAAAGTCGAGGTACGTGCGCAACCTACAGACTCGCCGCGTTCTACACGACGCGGCTTTTAATTCATTTCGCCATCTCCTTTCCATCTCTCTTTCTCTCTCACTCTCTTTCTCCTTTTTCATCGGCTCCGTGGAAAACCGCTCCACGCCTTTCTCGTCCTTCTTTTTTTTTATTCCGCGCCGCTGTTTCCCGTTCTCTTTATTCTCTTCGCCTCCTCCGTCTCCCCTTGTGCGCGGCCTTCCTTGCCGCGACGCGTCGCGTCGCGCCTTTTTGGCTCTCGCCGCGAAGCAATTCCACCGCGTTATGGAAATACGCGCGGAGGTGTTTCGCACTTGAATTACCGGCCGTCTTTGTGGGAAACGGTGAAAAGCGGCGACTACGGATCGAAGGAGGGTATCTGGTGGGGACGGGTGGAAAAGGGTTGCTCGGCTCTCAGTTACTTCGACGAATGTGTCGAGCTGTTTGAAACACTGATACACGAGCACAAAGTTGTGATATTTTATATTGCAAAGTAATAGTCCTCCATTATCCTCTATTTTTCATTAGACTCTATCCAAGTGAAGAGCAGTTTATTTCAAGTCTGATCCGGTCACGAGAATTTCATAAACTCCTCGCAAATCAACACGGTTTCATTTCCTCCCCGAAGATAGAACGATACAACCATTTCGTATTCTTCTTTCCCGAACACATTTCCGCACTCATCCTCCGTGAACGAGCAAAAAGGGTGGATGAAAGCAGCCAGTAAAGCGCTATTAATCACCCCGGCAGGCGGAAGACCCGGACGAGGGAGCAAACGCCGAGATCCGATACCAAATTCTTGGCCGGGAAGACGCGCCGCGATTCGCCATTGACCCACTCAGCGGTCAAGTACGATCCGTGGCGAGTTTTGGCCGTGACGCTGGTCGCGTTTTCGGGTTCGACGTGAAGGCCACCGACAGACGGGGCGCCGAGAACGGTCGCAGCAGCATCGCCAACGTCTTTGTGAGTATCTCGCCCTTTGTCTTCGCCCCTCCGACCGCGCTTTTAATTACCCGCCGTTAGAGGCGCGGGGACTGAGCGGAAGCTAATTTCCCCGCGGGGAGACCGAGGCTTCCGCGTTCGGGACACGTGCTGAGAATTCAGCTTCAAGTGTTATCTGACGGTCGGCTATTTACCCGAAGGTGTACGTGCTGGATGATCAGAAACAGGTCGTTATGGTCGTCGGCCGGAGGCCCGTGGACGTCGAGCCCCAGCTGGAAAACATCACCGCGTGAGTACGATGGATATTAGGGGTTCTTGTTATTACTTATGAGCCCGGCTTTATGGTTCCTGTGTTTTCTCTTTACGAAGCCATGTTCTGGCAAGGATGAATTGAATGGCTGTTGATGCGAAAGATAAGTAGATCACTAGGGTCGATGGTTCAGTCGAGGCTGAACCAATACGGTAATGGGAAAAGTATGTAGGTTTAACTTTGAAAGAGATGCTGAAGTTTGTTCTTGACTCTTTTCAACTCGTTGTCCATGTTAACACAGCGAAGAGGAAGTGTCTTCCTTTCATGAATTTCTGATTTTAAATAATGTAGTTATTACAACTTGTATGAATTAGGATACTTCAAAACGTGACGGGTTTGGACGTACGAGTGAGGAAACTGGAACCGCACATTGAAAAAAATCTAATTGACACAATGTCGTAAGTGATAGAATATTTAACTAAATAAATACTTGCTGCAAAAAATACTTAATTCAGTATAATTTTATTTTATATTGTTTTTAGTACCGACGTTTACCTCTACGCAATTGACCCTCACTTAAACGTGATGATAGACATGGATACTTTACACAAGTGAGTAATTCTTATTGAATCAAATTTTGTTGGCGATAGTGATTACTTCGTTATTGCAAATCGTTGCAATAATATTAAAGTATTAAAACAAGGGAGGGCAGACGGCTGAGAGATAATATCGGGCAACGATTCCCCTGTTAATTAGTTACACGGCGTACGTGAACGTGTATTTTCAGTGTATTTAACACAAAGAAAACGGAGATCAAGCGCGAGCTGGACGAGTACGATGTCCTGCACATCGCCGGAAGCTCTCCTCGCCGTGGTAATCAACGTTACCTGCTATCCACCCTTGAAGTTGGTGTGATGGTGCTCGGCTGTGTCGTCTTTGTGGGTGCCCTCGTCACTGCCCTTTGCGTCACGTGCGTCCGCAGGAACAAACGGTAGGAGACGTGAAATTTCGATAGTCACTACGTCCCCATCCAGTTTGAACATCCCAGCAAATTGCGAAATTTTTCAATTTGCGAATTGTAAAACTTGATTGATAAAATAAGATACGTATATTTTATTATAAAGGGAGAGATTTTTCGGAGACGTAGAACTGATTTATCATCATATACACAGGAATGTAAACTGTGTGCAAAAAGAGATAGTAGTGAATTACGTATTTGCGTGAGCAAGATAATGTCTGTGTACTTTGGGATTTATTTATATGAAAAAACAGATTCTTGCTCACGGAGTTTAATTTCTTTTTAATGTAGGATATTTATCACGTTGATATATTTTCTTGTTTCGTTGTACGCATGTAAGAAATATTTTGAGCTAATGAAAATTAGCATGTCGAGAACGTTTCGACCTTGGCAGCTGGACTTCGCTCTCGACCGAGAGCTCGTTTTAAAACCGTTGTTACTGGAATCTCGCTTTAGTCGCAGACGTCGGGAGAAAGCGATGTTCTCGACCACCAGCCCGATTGGATTCGCATTGGCAGATCCGACCGCGACGCTGCAGAAGCCGTCGTTGTTCCCGACTTTTGTCGACGGCCTTCGCTACGACCCTGAACCGTTCTGCGCCGACATGTCGAGGCGACAGAGCATCTGCGAGCACGGAGCCAACTGCGCCCGCTTCCGCGCGTAAGTCCATTATTTGACGTTACCGTTCTTGTCACCGTGGGTACCATCGCGTCGCGCCCCGGGTCCCCTCATTGTCAGCCGTATTCGAACCGTTCGCGAGCGGCCGAGCAGAATCGGCCGCGTTTCTGGACGACCTGTTTAGACTCTGCCCTGCCGGTTTTGTGTCAATGCTCACGTGCTTCCATGCTAACAAGCTTTTAATTTCGAATTTATGCCAATGCACAATGTACAAGGTACGACAAGTAGAAAAACAACGGTTTGGTCAGACAATATACAGGCTTTCACCATTGAAGGTTGTATGTGCCATATAATCTTTGTCAGAAGTTTAAGAAGTATGATGAGAAGCTATGTCCGACATTTGACACCATAAATTTCTAAGTAAAATGATTATCTACAGAGAAATAACGTTTATAGAAATTTAATATGGTTTTGGCACTTTTTAATAGGATTGTACCTGACTTGCAACTGTTTTGTCTACGAGTACTATAATTCTTTCTTTTGCTTATTATTTTTAAATATTATTAAAACATTTATTAATAATTATAGAAAATGTTTTTTACTCGACTATAATTTATCGTATTATTTAAAATTGAAGCTTTTAGTGTGTGTCGAAATTTCGGGGGATATAGGAAAACTTGTATAGCGAATGTAAAATTTGGCACAGAGAGCGGTTTGCGGTTGCGAGAAGTAATTGTGATATTGGCTTAACAGTAGAGTCCGCTCGTAAGTAGTATAGCCTGCATTTAATCAGACCACTTTAGCGCAGGAACGATTCCAAACTAACACTTCCCAAAAACTATTTGCTTACCAACATAAACTGATACTCTCATAATTACTTAATTGTTTACCTAATTATTAAACAATTTTTAGCATCAAAAGTGTTTCGTTTATTTTATGCAAAATTTCATAAGTGTGTCACTTTATTAATGCCGCCTTAAATTGTGAAATGCTGTGCTAGATATTTATACTCTCTCAGCAAACAATTCAATCTTAGCAACTGTTGTTCTAACAAACAACGTTTTAAGTCGAACACCAAAATCGCCCCGATTCTAGAGTATCAATCCCTATTCGACGAATAAAATTGTATAAGCCCCGTCTCTCGGTCGCGTGGAAACCGAAAGACATAAAACCCGAAGAAATTTCACGTAGAAGCAAAGAACACGGTCGTGGCAGCCGTGGAATTAAATAAAACTGCGACAGAAAGGCATGCATTTATTATGAGAAGCATTCCTCCTCCGAACCGGTCGGAGGGTAGAGGCAAGGTCGACCAGCAATATGGCGAATACTGTATCAGGGAATTCCCATATCTTTCGCGATTGCCGTTATACAATAGAGAGGCAAAAGGGGTGGTTGGGTTGCAGGATGGGCGGTTGTAGTAAGCACGCTGGGAGGACGACAGGGACCCCGAAAGGCCTCGAGGCATCCGCGACGTCCTTGCATTCCAGTGGTCAGGATTCTGGAATCGTGGCGCGCGCCTCCTGCCACTGCAGTCACTCGTCCAGCCCCTCCAGCGGCGAAAGCAGCAAGTAAGTCGAATTACTTACGGAGCTATTCGTGCTATCTAAATTGAAAAGAGAGTTCGCCCGGCTGAACGGGTTTCGATCGATCGGACCGTCCTCGCCGCGGATAGACGTCTATAGCGATCCATTCGATACCGATGCTATAAGCTATTCGATCTGCGAGTCTTCGACAGAGGAAATGTCTAAAGAAAAACGAACGAACAACGTGCATAATTTTGCATAAATCAGAATAACACGTGCAAAGAAATCCTCCGATTATGACTGAAACACTTTTGCATTAACCTTCCCCACTCTCTTAATGCACAAACCAAATATCCTTCTATATTTTTCTGAATTACTGATTTCCTTATCGCAGCGGCTACGAGGATTCGCTGAAATCCTTACAGCGTCGCGAGAGGATTAACGACGCGCCTCGTGGTAGCCACGAGGTGTTGAACGTGGCGGGAAGACGCGGCCACCAGACGACGTCCAGGAGGCGGCAACGGTTCAACTCGATCTCGAACGGGGAATCCGTTTACTCGCACGAGATGACGTTGCAGCGGGAGCAACGTTGTTGCGCCGGTACCGAGAAACGGCGGAAGAACGACGGGATGACACGCGAACACCGCCGCGCGCATTCCGAGGCGGAAAACAATATCACCGAGACGGTGATACACGAACATCCCGGCACCGAGATCTCGCTCTCGAGCTCTTTGCAGAATACGTCCGTTCTTCATGGTGAGTACGCGTCCCGCATTTTATCGTGCATTTTTCTGACGCTGATTCCCAACGACTCGGACCACTGCAGTCGCTTCTAATATTACCGGCGGCAAAACTATTTTCCAAAAGTATTTGTTTTCACTGCGTGCATTTGATCACGTTACGACATTCGTTCCTTCCTTTCTGACATACTTATTGGCAACACGTGGTGGCACATGTGCCATTTATTGATATAAAAAGTAGTAATTTTTGCACATGAATGAATCTCTTCTGTATAAAAAACGAGAATTTCGAATCCTCTTTAAAAATTATTACAATGTCGCATGTGTATGCCAATACAAAAATTGCCAATATTTCAATCGACATTCGTACTTGTACCAAGCCAGGAATTATGTGTTCTACTATTATACTGTGTCTGCGCTCGTGCATTGTAAAATTTGTTGCGTCGTAATTCAACTTCTTCGTTCCGAAGAGATTTCGGAAAAGGTCGAACCGACGACGTGTCATCTACAGGCTCGTCGTTCAAGAGGGAGATATAATGTTTCGCTGGTCAAGAAAGAGTTATACTTTATCTGTCCGTTTTATATAACGTACACGTTTCCAGGTTTATCGAGATCCACTCACATGCTGTATTAACGGCAACGGGACTGAGGAAGACGATGAAGAGGAGGAAGGAGGTTTCAATGGGGAGCAGGGGTCTTCCTGGCCATGAATCTCTGTTGCGTTCTCTTTTTTAAGAAGTTACCAATTAACGTCCAGACGGGGAAAAATACGCGTTTAGATACGATCTATACATATAAGTGTGTCATCTCGTTACCAAAGTACTCGTCATTATTCGATAGTCATTCATTCATGTAAATACAAAACTCTTATCGGTACTTTGAGATCCATATTACTACGTTTCCAATTTCCATTTTTTTACATGATCATTTAATATTTATTATGTAAGAATTTGTATGTATAAAATTTATGTATGATACATTTTGCAAATATCGAAATTTATCTAATCCTTTTTGTTAGAAGAAGTTATGTAAATAACTTTGAAATTAACATAATGTTAAAAATTGGAGAAAATTGTATAATATTTCTCCTAAGTTCAATATTTATATATTTTATAGTTAATGATTTAGTTTTCATTCAAATCTATCTGTGCCTTGTGAATATGCGAATTCTCGTGTCTTCTATTATATTAATCTTTACTGTATTAACTGTATTTAGAAGCGAATGTTAGAGCAGGTACAGACTTGAACACTAGGCATGAATGAGGCAAGCCCTAAGTGCCACTGATACCAAGCAGTAAATCGCCTCCTTTAATCCGTACCTCTCTTGGAAATGAGCTATTGATTTATCCAAACGAGTTCAGATACGAAAAGAATTGGAAGATACCCACTCCTATAGAATGCCCATACTAAACTCTATTCAACTTCTAGTTTTGAAAATGTCTTGGAAATACAATTGTAATATTTTTACTCGTGTCACTCACGAGAAACCCGCACATCGAACTTCTATTAAAAATCCAAGAACTTTAATTGTTTATAACTTTGGAACGAATGAAAATATCAAGACGAGGTTTGGACTGTTAACAGCGAGGTAGCCTCCTCTTTAAAGTACAGTTTGACTCATCTCGACAAGTCTTACGGTTGCGGAGATATTGTCGTGTAAAGAGAACTGCGATTTTTTTTCTCTGCCGCTATCGCTGTCCTCCTTAATCGGCCTGGGCCTCTCTCTTGCACCTTGACCCAGTTACTGACCTGCCCTAACTCCCACCGCCGCGTCTAGACACCTGCTGCGGTTCTAGGAAAATAACCCTTTCGTTCTAGGAACGGTATCCCTCGTACAGCTCAAACGTCGACATTTTCGAAGTCTGGAACGAATTTTGATATCAGAATGAATCAAAAGCAGTTCTCGGCTTTGATTCCTCTATGAACTGCTGGGCTATTAATTCACATTATTAATATAGAGGTTTGACCTCTCAGTGCTGAATAAAATTAAAAATAGTGGTGCAAACTGTATATTTATTTTTAATATATTGTTTTTATATTCATTTGGTGTTTCTGTGCAAGTCTGTGTCTGCCCTAAAAAAATGTAACATATGTACGTTGGTACTTAACGTCGCGCGCGATGGCAAATAACTGTGTTATATGTAAATCTTGAATAAATGGTACATTATCGATACGGAATTGATAAGAACTCACAATTTCCCGCTGATATCCGTTAACAAATACTCCCCGCCGTTATTCCGCATTCGTCGTATAGACCGATTCATCTTATATCCAATATCTTCGCTTTTGGGACAAGGCTGTGCCGCACAGCCTTATCTACTCAAGACTCATGACAAAAAGCGTACCCTTCACCTTCGCTCTGTTCACTCCGCCCGTTCCTCCATTATTCTTGTCCATCGTTCATTTACGAGTCGATTCCTTTGTACCCGCGCTTTCGTTTTCTTTTCCCTCAAAATAATTGGACGTGTGATAGGGATGCGCCTTACGCCCGACTTCGAAACTCCTGATTGCCGAGCATTGATATTAATCGCGTGGGAACCGATCGCTCGGGAGCAAATGGACCCACGCGGAATGTTCATCGTGAGGAGCCTGTCTTGTCACACGCTTCTCCGCGGCGCGGAAGGTGACCTTCGCCGTTGGCACAGCTTGATTGCCGATGGAGCTTCGGCAGCTCAGGAATCCCTTAGACCGCGGATCAAATCAGCGTGGGTGTTTTAATTACGGGTAAATGAGTCGTGCGCGAGGAGATTCCTAGTCCCCGGCTGACATCGGATATATCGGCGTTCAATGGGCCTTGAATCTATTGCAACGCGGCTGTAAATGAGCCGCGTTCTAGGGCTACCCCTCCTCACGTGTCTCTTTAGAAACGCCGAGGTGGAGGCGGAGACCTTGCGACATTAGCAGTGAAAAAACACCATCCCAATCCTTCATGGAATGGAACCAATGGCAAGGTAAACGTTTCAAGTCACAATTTCTACTCACTGGCCCGTAAATTAAACTTTTACATTACAATAAAATATAATAAATTGTGAGTAATAAAGTAATAATTAAGGAGATTTATTATTGATCAGGATTAATGCCGAGGTAACTAATTCCGATCTGTCAACCTTTATGTTCATTAATTTTAAACGTAAGTCCAATTTAAATTGCAACCATGTCCTATATTTATTTTTAATTAATAGCACGTCTGACAAAAAAGAGAAGAAAAAATTGTACCACAAAAAATAACGCAATGTACCATTTGTGGTATATGTACTACAATTTGAGGAACGCTGGTTTAGGTGCAGGGTATCAGCTGGTAGCCAGCAAAAACCACCGCAAAACCACCAAAATCCTCCGTGGCGTTCAGCATTAGAATTAATTTACCTCGTCGCGCTCACGTACAAAAGCGAATCCCGGAATTTCGATCGCCCCGCACCGGATCGGTCGGTCGCCGGCGCATGGAAACAGTGATATTTACGACAATTACTCGGGTCTAATAGAGAGCGCGGCACACGTGTTTTACACGATGTAGCCGTGTCGTCCTCCGGTCCCCATAGCAATCGTCCCTGACACCCTCCGCGCGGGCGGAACAATTACAACTGGTCCAACCCCATTTGCGAATGAATTATTCGGCCTCTTACTTACGCCGGGCCTTCCGAAGAATTAGCACACGTTGCACACGATGACCTCGTAACTCTTCCGGCCGGGGCCCCGAGTCTTACCCACCCCCGTGCCGACTTCTTGCCGTCCACGCCTACGGAAGAATCGCGTTCAATGACACGACCGAATTTCCCAGTTTTTCCGCCAGTTACGCTGCACGGTGTAGTTACAAGGAGCTTTAACGACGTGGGCGTTCGCGGTTTTCTAGTGATAAATGATACCGTTTGCGAAGTTTCTTTCTTCTTCATCATCGGCGAGGATCGTCCGGAAGATTTACGGAAAGAAACCGAATGTGTTGATGACACACTTTCGTATGAATATGTAAAATGCAAAACACGACGGATTCAATTATTTGTGGAGTAATTAGTTGGTCAAAAGTTTTATCGTTCGGATCGTTTAAATGTATGGAACGTTGTATAAGATTTCTTTGAAATAGTTCCTTGCGTGTCTGTCCGTTTTATCTTGCCAGTACCGAAGATATAATTAATTTATCGTTCACTAAACGGAAAAAGGTTCGCTCGAGCGGTGAAGTAGCCGGGGCGAGTGAAAAATCGCGCGACGTGCTCGCAGTCGCGTGGAAAAAGTTGGCCCCATCTGGATTATCCTGTTTCGGATCGTAAATCATCCCTGAAGGACGCGAGGGCGATAGCTTCGCGGCTGGACCAGTAATTGCGTTGAAATTTGATGGCAGCTTGATTTATTGAACGCTTAAGAATGCGAAAACACTTTGAAGTCGACGAGCGCAAAATATGTATTCCCCCCTTTTTTTTCCCTTGAAAACTTTCATCCGGGGTGGAAAAATCTTTAGTCATTTATTTTGTCATTATTATAACGAGCATGATATATTAATATATTAATATATTATAAATTTAGTACAATGATATATAAATATATGAATTGCAATATATAAATTAAATGGTTAATATACGAATTGAACATGAGACGTAATTAGTATTCGCCATTGATCGTAATCGGATTTGATGGTGATCAATACCAGGACTCGCAGGACACTGGTCCAAGCATATCATTAACGTGCTCGGACAATAAGCTTCCGAGGACTTCGTAGTCGATGCATCGGACGCGTGTTTCGGGTGTGTTAGGCGTATTCTGCGGGGGCGACTATCCCTGTTATGAACGTTAGCCTGCAATGGACGCCTCTTGGTGTCGATAGCTACATTCCCTAACTCGCAAGGATTACGTTTCTGATTACCATCGCAACGTTCTCGATATTGTCCTACATTCCCCAAGATATTCTCACATGCACTCGTTTTCAAATCTATTTCTATTTTATTACATTCAACTATAAATATAAAGAAAATGAGTCTATTAACATGACTTCGAATAATTCATAACAACGAATTTTTTAAACAAAACGACTAATATTTTTTTTGAAACCATGCAAGATTTGTTTAAAAATTGTTATAGTGCAACGAATACCTTACGAGTTACTCGAAGTGGTCACGTCATGAGACTCACCCTGTATACATCTCGTTCCTCGGGATGCAGCCTTTTAAAGAAAGTGGTTGGTGGTGGGTTAAAGCCGGTCGAAGGTTGAAAAATATCAATCCGGAGCTAGTTAAATCTTAACGTCGTTCGAGGCGAGCTCGCACACACAAGGTTCTCCACGCGCGGCTGATCCTCCTAGCCGTTTGTCCCTTCTCATCTCGGAGCTCGATATACTCAGGAAATGAGTTTTAGCCGGTCGATCGGTCCGAAACGAATCGAATTACGTCGGCGGTTAAGGGGATCGCGACGAGGTGTCGGCTGGCTTCAAAGGAGAACGATTAACGCTCGACCTTGGCCTCCGGGGGTGGATCCAGTGGCATTCCTGGGAGCCGATATATTGGTCAGGGGTTGCACTTTCACGGGGACGCGATTGGAACACAGGGAACCCGGGGGTGATGGGGGAGGTTCCTAGCTCGAGGAAGAAAATCGGAAGCTCGCCCTTGTTCCCGTCACGGAATAAGTAGCTAATATTTCACCGGGGCATTCGAATAACGTCCCGGGGAAAGACAGCATCCTGCAAACCGAGACGACGTCGTCGAACACGTGCCGGCCGAGGAATAAAGGGTTGGAGGTAAAGGAAGGTTGCAACCTTCAATTTGATATCGAAGACGGTTCGAAAAATCCTACGCGGCTTAATATCCCCTGTCTCCGTAGTCTCCGGCTCGAGGATCGACTTGAGCCGGCCCGCTGAAGAGACCGTTGAATTTTTTATCGAGTCCTCGTTTTTCTGCCCCGACGATCCTCGGACCGTGCCAGACGATCGGAATTGATTTCGCAGTCGACCGGTAAAACTTTCCGTTTGCATAGCTCGCGATCGATCCGCGGCAGAGGGCTGGAATAACAGCACAGTTTGCAGCAACAGTAACTTCCTACACGACGAAAATCTGCTTATTTAAAAGCGACAAAGGCGCGATGAAAAAGCGGCTGATCAAAAAACATGGAAGTACGCAAACGTAATAAAAAGTGTATTTCACGCACTTCCATTAAAACGAGTAATTCGAACGAAAATTCCAAACATCCGATGTGACAATATACATACATATAAACGTATATGTTCTCTCCAGTTTGTCAGAAAAACAACACGAATTTTCGAACCTGAGCAAACGTAAAAACGTAACACGATAATACTGTTAAGCATTTGATGTATAAAAAAGCACGACTCCGCTGTAAATGATAGTTTTCCCAGCGCCAGTTGTCTGGCTCGTTTCGAACCGCACACGCCGCAATTTGGACGCGAATCGGAGCGTTTGAATAATGTCCCCGGAACGTTACTGTCCGCGAAATCGCTTGGCTGCGGCGACGCGCCCGGAGCCGAGGCTGCAGCCTTCGATTTTAGCCGAGAGGCACGACGGAAAGGAACCTGAAGAGCCCGGCCTGTTCCCCTCCGCGAGGTATAGATTCACACTAGACGGCCGGGCGTCGCCGCGCCTTTTCTATTCCGTTCGCTTTTAATTTCGTCCTGCTCGGTCCCGGCGGAAGACAGGTCCCGCGGAAAGAAAATATTCCAAGATCCTGGAGCATCCTTGACATCCCCGGGAATTAACTTCGTTTAATCTTACGATCCATTGGATTCCATTTCTATCGATCTCCTTCACCGTCATTCTTTATCGTTCACCGTTCTCGATTCCACTCTCGCCTCTCTGTGTGTAAGCGTATCGATGCGCACACGCACGAAAATAAATCCGCGCGACCCGTCGGAAATATTTATTGCATCATCTCTCACTGGGTTATCGAATCATTTCAATCGTGTTCGACTTAGTTTTACGAGGACGGTTAGTATTCCATTTAATGAGGCATCGGCACGTGGTCGTAGCCGTGTCCATTGGGAAGTTCACGTGGCTATGAAAAATTTCGGAATTTGCTTGACAAAGGGGGCTGCTCTCGTACTTCGTAAGTGAAGTAACTTGCTCGCGCACGGGGCGAAACGCGCTTCGTAAATGCATCACGACTTCGCGAACTCAGTTTCAACTCGCGGAGCCTTGAAACATCCTGGCGGAACCTTCGAACATGGTATCTTTTTTTTTTTATGG